TTGAGCCACAGGTGCCGCCCCAACAGGGACTGTTTTTATCTCCCTTTTATGATAAGGGAACTGAGGGCTAGAGTCACCTGAGATTGGAAGCTATGAGTGCTGGGCGGGACACATACTGAGGCTGGTCTGACCTCAGAATCTTCTCCCCTTACTTAAGGACATGCAGGAACAGAAAACAGGCAGGCAGGGCCAGTGTATGTAGTGACTCTGGTTGTAACCCAGACAACTGACCTCGGTGACCTGGTAGCAGGCATGTTATGTAACTTTCCCCGTGCCTCAGTTTCCTATCAATGGGGCATAATAACAGAGCCCATGTTCACAAGGCTGGTGTGAGGATGAAGTCAGGCTGACTCTGTAAAGCATCAGTGCAGGCTCTGCACTCCCCCCTCCCCGTAAGGGTCCCTGTTACTAGTCCCTGGTAAGTGCCAAGTGCTTTAAGAAATATTTGTGAAATAAATGACTAAGTATTTGTGAAACAGAGGACTCTAAATCTAAATTAAGGTGGAGGGTGGAATACAACTGCAAATGTTTGAGACAAAATAGAAAAAGGGAAAATAAGAGCATTAGCTCAGACATAGCAAGTACCTGGCACAGAAATTCAGAATAAGGGTACGAGTGACCTCACTTCTTTTCTTATATCACCTTCGGGAGCTGCCAGCAGACCACAGGGGCAGAGCTGGGATTGAGCTCTGGATCTGAAGCCCTCCAGGCCCGGGGTGTGGCCCCGTAGACTGACTGCAGCCTGGACAGAGGTGGAGCCCTGCTGCTCCATCACCCCCTGCTGTGTCCAGGAGCCAGAGCCTGTTCCCTGTTCAGGGGTGAGAGCCTCCTGTAGTTGGCCTGGGCTGGGCAGAAGTGAGGCTAGCTGGGGCCACGCTTTAGGGGACGCACTTGCTGTGTCAGGTTAAAGGACCTGGGGCCTTCTCTGGGTGGCTCTGTACTGCTGTCCACTGGTCAGCCCTCAGGGACCCTTGATCCAACTTCATCTTTTATAGACAGGCAAACTGAGCAGGGCCACTGCTGGCCCAGGGCTGACATACTTGTGCACACTGTGGCTTGTCCAGCTCACTTATCTCTAGTCCCCTCAGGGGGTCAGGAGACTTCTCTTTCCATCTTAACCATCTAGGTCTCTTAGGAGAGTTGTTTAACGTCTCTAGGCTTCAGTTTCGCCACCCAAAATGTATGGCCCTGTCCTGATGGTAAGATGATGGATGGTAGGCATGAGTCTCCTGTATCCTGGCAGGTGCCCCAGCAAGGTAGAGGTGGTCCACACGCCATCTTATCTGATGGACTCTGGGTGGCTGGCATCCCGGGCGGCCCAGTGTTTCCCATGGATACCTTTCTCAGTCAGCTCATCTGTGTAGTGAGTGACAGCCAGTGGCACTGCCCTCAGTGGCCAAGCCCTTCCAGCTCTGCTTTCATGACCAGGTAGCTGCCCCCAGGTCAGAAGCAGGGCACTGTTTGCCCAGAGACCCTGTAAGACCCTAGAAATGATGCCTTGGCTGGACACTCTGGTGTAGACCGGGAAAGGTTATCATGAAAATAAAGCTTAGAATAAAAGTTAAATTCAGCAGCCAAAACCAGCTCCCTTAAGTTTTTTCTTAAGGGTCTAACTTGGAATCATCCTTTTAAAAAAGAGTAGGAAGGAAAGATTCTTACATTGGTGCATCCATAGGGTTGAGGGCAGTTTCCTGTCTCACCCTAGGCCTCGGTTTCCTCATCTGTGAAATGGGAAGGTAATCCCAATTGCTTTAAAAGTTCTTTGGGGAGAGCTACACAATCTGTGGGCCCTTTCCCTTCCTCCACACCTTCTATAGCCAAGATTTCTAGACTTTATAACAAAATACTACAAGCGCTGGTGCTGCTGGCCAGAGGACAGAGCAGCTCCCCTGCCCCGTCCACCCTCCAGCCCTGTGTGCCTGGACAGTCATTCTCTTCCTCCTTGTCTCCCATGTGCCCTGACCATCCCCTCTCTCTAAGAAGCTGCCTGTTGCATCTAGTCCTTCTGAAAGGCACTCAGGGCACCTGCAAAACCCATGCTACCATTCTGAGGACGTGGCAGGGGACTTTTCATGGGGAACAAGACTCAAGCAGAGTGAAAGAGAGCACTTCCTACCGTGGGAAATAGAAGACCCGGATCACTGGGTGTGTGGCTGCCTCTGGGGGAGGAAAGGTGGGCTCCATTGGACACCTGGGCACTCACCTGAGGAGCCTTGCAATGGTCAAGGGGTCCCAATTCAGAGTCCCTTGGTGAGGTGGGATAGGGGAGCCGGGGACTTTTCAGAGGCAGATTGCCTGGCTGCCAGTACAAGAGGGTCCCATGTATTGGTTGAGGGAGTGGGTGGGCCGTGGATGAAACACAGGTGTGGACGTATTCCCCATGCCCAAGGAAAATCAATAGTGACCCCCGTCAGGCAAGTGCACAAGTGTCTGGGATTCCAAAAGAAATGGAGGTGATGGAGGGGCTGGAAGCTATCCCCTGCTCTGCCCCAGTGTGCTAATGAGAGCCCCCCACACAAAGGCTGAATCCAACACTTCTCCATCCCACGCTGCCCCCACAGGTGCCCAGGGAGGGGCCCAGGAGGAGGAAAGCACTCAGGCCCCAGGGGAAGAGACAGAGAGACCAGCCGAGCTTGGGATCAAACACTGACCTGAGGAATCTGGGTCCTATGGGAGTCCAGGGGTCCATGCGGGGTGTCACATCGACCCTTCAAGGTCTCTGCTCCAAGCTCTGGCAACAAGCCTAGTAGCCACCCCTGCTTGAAGTTCCCCGTTTGAAAACAGGAAACAGACTGTGTGACCTGGTCCCGGTCACCCTCGCCCATTGGCTGGTGAGATGTGGCATGGTGAGCAAAACTGAAAGACAGCTTTCTGTACCTATGTCTTCTTCCAGGGCCCCTCAGGGCAGGACGGAACAGTACAGGGCCAGCCCCAAGGGATCTAGCTGGGCCTCGTTCTCCTGCAGGCCTTACAGTAACCTGGCTGTGCCTGCAGAGTCCCCGTGAGCCTCTGGCATTCAGATATTAGCTCCCAAAGCACTTTAATGTTCACTATTCCACTGCAAGAGCTAGGCATGGTGAGCCATTATACCCCATGTGCAGATGTGGAAACTGAGGCTTGGATCACAGAGCTGGTAGGATACAGAGCTCTGTCTGACATGGATAGGGCAGTGGGGGAGAATCACAGCTTCAACTCGTGCCTTTTCTCTGGGCAAAGCTGCCACCAGCACCGCTTACGGAAACCCAAGTGCCCACCAACCCACAAATGGATTAACAAACTGTGGTGCATGTACGCCGCGGAGTACTCTTCAGCCACGAGAAAAGATGGAGACTTTACATCTTTTGTGTTTACCTGGATGGAGATGAAACACATTCCTCTTCGTAAAGGGTCTCGGGAATAGAAAAAGGGTGTTTGTATGTAAAACCAACACATAAACAGCTACATGCTCATACAAAGAAGACCCACAAGTACAGTCTAGCAGGGGGGTAAGAGGGGAGGGAGAAAGGGAGGGGAGAGCAGGGAGAGGGCAGGGGAAGAGGGAGGCCACTTGGTAGGATCTGACCTAATGGGCACAATGTGAGGGTGTTCAGCAGCCCCCTGGGTGAAGGGCTCAACGGCAACTCGAACTTTACCTTAGAAATGAGTACGATGCAACCTAACCATTTGTACCCTCATGTTAATCCAAAATTGGAAAAAAAATGAACACCTAGAAAGTTCTAGAAGCATCCTAGAATGGAAAAGACAAAAAGTAAGTACAGGAAAGCTAGACCCGTGGACAGTGGTGTGATGCCTGGCCTCTAGTATTTGTGGCCTCAAGGACAAGAGGCTAGAATAGGACAAAAAAATAGAACCTCACTGGCTCCCCCAGAATTACCAAGTGTCTCTTCCCAGCCGTGGCTCCTGCCCTCCCCGCTAGAGGTGGTCGCTGGCCTGATGGGCTTCTCTCGTGGTCCTTATCAATTTGCCGGCTGTCAGTGGATCCCTAAGTGACTGAGTTTCAGGTTGCTCATTTGTGAACTTTCTATAAATCAAAGCATACTCATTGTGTGCCTTCTCTCGTGTCTTGCTTCTTTCATTCAACATTTCTTTTTTTTTTTTTTGAGACAGAGCCTCAAACTGTCCCCCTGGGTAGAGTGCCGTGGCTTCATTGCTCACAGCAACCTCCAACTCCTGGGCTCAAGCGAGTCTCCTGCCTCCGCCTCCCGAGTAGCTGGGACCACAGGCGCCCACCACAACGCCTGGCTATATATTTTTTTGGTTGCAGCCATCATTGTTGTTTGGCGGGTCCGGGCTGGATTCGAACCCACCACCTTAGGTGTACGTGGCTGGCGCCTTAGCCGGTTGAGCTACAGGCGCCGAGCCCATTCAACATTTCTGTGCATAAGATTCACCCAGTTTTTAATATGTGGCATACCTGGGTTTTTTTTTTTTTTTTTGATTCTTTTATTTGAATACATCACAGTTCTGTGGGGTTTTTTTTGCCTGCTGATGCACATTTGAGTTGTTTCTGGGACAATTATCATGATCAGTGATGCTGGTTACACAGTTGCACGTCTGACCAAGTCCATGTGCTATCCCAGGTAAAACTGCCGGGTCTTGAAGTACGGATAGTTTCAACTGTCCTGAATTACGTGAAGGTGTTTTCCAGAGTGGCAGTGCTGCTGGAGAGTTCCAGATGCCCCACCTTCTCACCTACACTTGATATGGTCAATACGTGGCATTTTGTAACGTAGCCTTGTGTGTGCAGTGAGTGGTGCATCAAATGTTTTAAGTTGCTTTCCCTAGTAACGAATGAAGCTGAACATCTTTTCGTGGATTTGTCTGTCATCCTTATAGCATCTTCAGTGAATTTCCTGTTCAAGTCCATTGCTCATTTTTGGCTAGACCCCCTTTTCACGGTCTGAGGTGTTTTGAATGTGTTCACTTGGGTGTGTGCACTTCAGCACCTTTTCCAGCCTGCTGTTTGCATTTTCACTCTTTTCCTGGGGTCTCGTGATGAATACAAGTGGCCAGCTTTCAAGTGTTCAGCCACATCAGTCTTTTCTTTCCCAGCCTGCGTCCTGCTTGGCTGTCTGGAGACTTCTCTTGTATTTGCTTCCACACAACCTCATAGGCCACAGTGAGACCTACGATGATGGGTTAAGATATCCAAAGCACTTAGCGCAGTGCGTTCTGGGCTGACTCAGTGCTGGCGACTCGTTACTCTAAAACCTCTGTGGTTTGCCTTTCTGGAGGGGCTCTGATTACCTGTTGTCTTTTTCTATTGAAATAGTCATCTCAATCCCACCTCTCTGCACTGCCATTGCTGTCATTATCCACACAAGATGTGGCCCATTTCTGGGCAGAGCTCAGGAGGACTGCCATGGACAGTGTGCCTCTGGCCTGCTAACCGGGGAGCCCCTCAAGTGCAGGGGCTCATTCACATCCACCTCCCCCTGCCTGGCAGAGGGCCCAGTGGGCCTCAGTGTGCAGAGTGAGGCTGGCGTGTCCTGTGCCCTCCCCTCTCTGGACTGTGTTTTCCAGTTTTTTTGCCTACTCTTGCCCGGGCCTGGAACCTGTGAAACCCCAAGGCAGACTATGCGTCCTTCTCTGCAGCCCCTGAGCCTCTCACCCAGCAGAAGGCAACCCAGGGAAGAAAGTGTGGTAGCCACTGCTTCCTCTTCTAGGGACAGAAGACGTCCTTTGGAAAGTCCCTGGTGCAGGGGTGTGTGGCCTGCGGAGGTCAGACACATAGACCAGAATGGCCGGTGGCTGTTACACTGGGCCACTTGCTGGGCGTTGGCCCTTTTCTGTAGCATAGAGCTTGGCAGGCGGAGGGGACAGGCAGGGGCAGTGCCTCAGTCGGTTGGGCTGCTGTGACGGCACACCTTAGACTGGGGGCTCAAAAGACACACATTTGTTTCTCACGGCTCTCTGAGGCTGAGAGGGCCGAGCCGGTGCACCAGCAGACTCAGTGTCCGGTTTGCCAATTCAGCGAGGGCCTGATTCCTGGTGTGCAGACGTCTGTCTTGTCCTTGTGTCCTCACCTGGCAGGCAGAGGGCTGGAGAGCTCTCAGGGCCTATTTAATAAGGGCACAGATCCCATTCATGTGGGTTTGTCCCTCATGCCCTAATCACCTGCCAGAGGCCCCACCTCTTAATACCATCACACTGGGTGTTTGGATTTCAACAAATGAAGTTTCAGGGTACCGATTCAGTTCATAACAGACAGGCAGGGCCCCACTGTCATGGTGGGGGGTGACACAGAAGCGTAGTCCTAAAGCCAGATGGCGAGGAGGGGATACCAAGGGGGACTAGGGAGTCAGGAAGGGCGAATGCTGGAGTCTCAGAGTCTGGCACCTGCTCTAGACTTCAAAGTCAGTGCATCTCTCTCTCCTGCCTGCCCGCTTCCGTGGCTTCCCCCATATTTGAAGCAAGGCTGAGCTTCCCATGGAGGCCTCTGGGATCGGACACTTGTCTCTCTTTCTGACCTCGCTTGGAAAACTCCCAGCACCGTTCACCACAAGCCAGCCGTGCCAGCCGATTCCTGTTGCCTAAATGCGCCTTTGTCTTTGCAGTTCCCTCAGCTGGGAACTCCCCTTTCCTGGTTCTTACCATGAGTGCCTTTCTCTTCCTTAGGGAGAAGTTTCAGGCCTCCAGGAGGCCTTCTCCCGACCCCTTGGTTAAGATAGTTAAAGGTTAGTTAAAGCTACCCTTGCTTTGCTTGCCTGTTTACCAGCCTGTTGCTGTCTCAAGCACCAGGATGGCAGGACCTTTCTGCATTCTGGCCGCATTGTGCCTGCCACATGGGGGGTGCCTAGTAAGCGATTGTTGCATGAATGCTGGGAAGCGGCCACCTGGGTTGTGGCTCCACCTTAGCCCTGACTCACTGTGGAATACCAGGCAGGCTGCTACCTCTTTCCAAATTTCACGTTTCCTAAAGTAAGTCCTCCTAGCACCAAAGCGTTCTACCCTGAGCAAATTCTTTCTCCTTGAATTGCCTTGGCATCCTTGTTAAAAAGCAATCTACTTGAAAAATTTAGCCTTGTATTATGGGTCTCTTTCTAGGCTAATAAACACATACCTACAGCAACTTTAAAAAATAGATTTCTAGCTGGGCGTGGAGGCTCATGCCTGTAATCCTCATACTCTGGGAGGCCAAGGCAGGTGGATTGCTTGAGCTCACTAATTCAAGATCAGCCCGGGCAAAAATTGAGACCCCCATCTCTACTAAAAATAGTAAAACCAATGCAAGAAGCTTGCTTGAGTCCAAGAGTTGGAGGTTGCTGTGAGCTATGATGCTACCGCACTCTATCTAGGGTGACAGCTTGAGACTCTGTCTCAAAAAACAAATAAATAAAAATAAAAATAGAAAAATTAGCCGAGTCCCTGGGTGGGCACCTGTAGTCCCAGCTACTCGGTGGCTGAGGCAGAAGGATTGCCTGAGTCCAGGATGAGCTAGACTGAGGCCATGGCACTCTAGCCTGGGCAACAGAGTGAGGGTGTCTTAAAAAAAACATTCTACTGAAATGTAACAAGCATGAAGGAAAATGCAAATATGCTCAGTGCTTAACTTGGTCAGTTTTCACAAAGTATTTGTATCTGTGCAACCACCGTTTAGAGCTAAAATAGAACATTGCTAGGCCCCCTTACACCTCCAGCCTCCTCCTCAGTGTAACCTCTATCTTGGCTCCTACCACTGAAATTTCTTGCTTTCGAATGTGGTATGATATCACACAGTAGGCGTGCTCTTGTGCCTGGCTTCTCTCACCTGCCGTGTGTCTGTGAGGCTGCAGTGCTTGTGGGTTTCAGTGGTTCATTCCTTTTCATTGGTTATTAGAATCACAGCATTATTTTTAGTACATTCACTTAGCTAAGATTTACCATATGTCGGTTCCTGTTTTAGGCCTGGGGATAAGGCAGGGGTCAAGGCAGGAGGAGCCTGTACCCCTGGAGCTCACGTTCTCTTGGGTGAGACGCTGACAACAAAGAGGACAAATAAGTCAAATACACAGTGCGTGCTGCTGCGTGGAGGGGAGCGCCGTGGAGAGAAACACAGGGCAAAGTAGGGAAAGGGGTGGAGTGGGTTAGGGAAGGGCTCTCTGAGAAAGACACACCCCAGCAAAGACCTGGAGGAGGTGAAGGGGTGGGGCGTGGAGCTTCCTAATGGGAGAGCGTTCCAGGCAGAGGGAGTAGCAGATGAAAAGGTCTGGGGTGGTGGCAGGCTTGGCATATTTCAGGAACTGCCAGGAGGCCAGTGTGGGCTGCAGCACAGCCAGTAACAGGAGCATGGGAGGAGGTGGGCAGAGAGGACGAGAGCGGCCATGCAGCAGTTGTAAAGACCTGGGCTTTTACGTGGAGTCATCAGCAGAAGAGTTTCAGCAGAAAAGTGACATAATCTGAATTCTGAGAAAACAGACTCACATTGGCTGTCAGAAACACGAAAGTTTGTGATTTTTATAAAGACCAACATGTTTTTTCCTTCGGCTATTCGTGCTTCAGGTGTCAAATCTGAGAGAACGTTGCTTCCACCAAGGTCAAAGGATTTACATTTTCCTCTAAGAATTTTATATTTTTGTACAGAGTTTGATTTAATAAAAAATATTAATAATATAAAATAGAATTCTATATTTTGGCTCTTAAATTTGGGATTTTGATTCATTTGGGGTTAACTTTTATATATGGTGTGAGGTAAAAGTCCGAATTCTCTGGTTATTAGAATCACAGAAAACCATCCTTGGATTGTGGAGAATGACCAGGAGCGCTCGGCATAACCCAGGTGAGAGATGGTGGAGATTTGGAGCAAGGTGATAAGGGCAGAGGGGGTAGGAAGTGGCTGCCTTCTGGAAATATTTTGGAGGTCAAGCTGAAAGGATTGCTCCTGGGCTGACTGTGGTATATCAGAGAACGCTCAGATGCTCTGACAGTTCTCTTAAGTAATTTCCTATTATTGAGCATTTGGGAGATTTCTAGCTTTTCTCAGACAGTTATAGGCAAGGTGGTGGTGAACACCCTTGGAGATGGTCTGTGCACCACCCAGAATGATTTTCCTGGGGTAGATTGGGGTAAATTCAGCCCTTCTAATGCAGCATCTTCCAACACAGCCACCACTGTGTCACCAGTAGTTAGAAGCTGACCTCTGGTGCTAGAGGCCTAGGGCAAATCCCAGCTCGGCTCTCACCTCTTGGGCAGGTGAATTGGATGTTCTGTGCCTCAGTTTCTTCATCTCTAAGTTAGAGGTAATAATAGTCAATACTGTGTAAGAGGAATTAACTGACTTAACTTGAGTGAGGGTTAGCACAGAGTAAGCGCTGTGGAAATGCTAGTTGTCCTTATTTTTCTTTAAATAGACTACACATTTTTTAAAAAAGCCCAAATAAAAGTGTTTTAAAAGGAACAATTATATTAATAGTTAAATGGGAAATCAGTGCCAGGAGAACAAAACATTGTAAAATAAAATAAACGTAATGGAAACAAAACAGCGCTATTCCGTTCCGACTAGATGTTGTTCCAGAGCCCAGCCGACCAGGCAGTGTTAGCGAGGTGTCCAGGCCAGGAGGAGAGCAGACTGAGAGCGCTCTTCTCAACTTAGACACAAGGATGGGGGAAAAATGAAAAAGAAGAACTTTACGGCCCGTCCACTCTTCCTTGGCACGTGACCTCCCGCCCTCCGAAAAGCGCAGCTCTGGGAATGTCACAAGATAAAGCGCTGGACTTCCTGATCCCTCAGAGCGCGCGCACCGTCCCCACGTCCCCAGGGGCACCCACAGCTGCGGCCGCGAGTGCGGGCCTGTGTTGTGTTTGTGTGCGGGGTTGTGGGCGGGGGGGCAGTGTCCTGAAGGCGGCCCAGTTCCCTCCGGGTTGAAATGCGGCCCAGGAAGGAGGGCACGCCCGGCTGTGCGTCCTGGCCTTCCAGCTCCGCCGGCGGCCCGGCCTGGGAATTGCCTGCCCTGCCGCCCTGTCCCAGGTGAGTCCCTGCCAGCCACCCGGCGGGGAGGGAAGGGGGTGCGGCGGTCCAGACGGAGCAGGGGTGGGGTGGGCGAGTGCGGGGCGCTCGGTGCCGGCACCGCGGGGTGGAGCAGAGGGCGCCCAGCCAGAGCTGGAGCCGGATTCCCAGGCGAAGAAGTCGGGGCACCGGGCTGGGGTGAGTGCTCTCTGTGCTCAGCGCCAGGGGGCGGGATGGGGGACACCTTGGGCGCTCAGGGTCCAGTCCTGGGACTCAGACACCTGCTGCCAAGCCGTCCTCGGTCCCGCCTCCCGGCTTGGGGAAGGACTGCCTCGGTTTCCCTTGGGGGAGTCTGGGCGTAGATGGGGGGTGGGTGGAAGGAAAGGGAGGTGAGGGGCGGGGACTGGCAGGCTGTGAATACAGAGGATGAGGGGCCTCTGAGGTCCGAGGGAGGCTGTGCCTTGGGGTCGTGGGGGCTGTGGAGGGAGAACCGGCCCCCCACAAGTCCTGCCCGGTGATCCCTTCTTTCCTTCATTCAAACAGTCTAGCGATGCCGGGGATGAGATGCCCGGTATACAACAAAGGGAAAATCAGACAAAACTTCCTGCCCTCATGGAGGGCACATTCTAGAAAGGAGCGGACAGCAACAAAATGCCTAAATACACGTCAGGTGGGGACAAGGGCTGGGGGGCTGAGGCTGGGGCTTGCAGTTTTACAAAGCACAGTTGAGGCCTGTGGCAACTGAGCAGGCTGAGTCCCAGGGCAGCCATATGGGTATCTGGGGAAAGCCTGGGTGGTGTTCGCTCCCCATGGGGGCCACTGGAGGGCTGTGAGCAACATCACCAGCTATGACCTGGGGTCCGGCAGGTAGTTTAGTTGTGGGCTGGAGAAGAGCCTTCAGTGGGGGTGAGGGCAGAAGCGGGCAGCAGGAGGGATCACTGCTGTTATTCCGGGGAGAGACCGTGGGGACTTGAACCATGACGGGGTGGTGAAAAATATCTCAGACTTGCAGGTGTGGGGTATCTTTCGGAAGGCTGGGTTGATAGGATTTGGGATGCAAGAGAAAGGTGGGGTCAAGGAGGACTCCCAGCATCTGGAAGTTTGGAGCCCCCACCGCTGAGGTGGGAGCTGTTCCCGGGAAGGTGAGGAGTTTGGTCCTGTGTTTCTCAAGTTGTCTGAGACGCTGTTAGACGTCCCTGTTGAGTAGAGAGTGAGAAAAGTTCAGGGGGGAGGTCAGAGGTGGATATAACATTTCAGCCATCGTCACCGTATAGCTGGTCTTTAGAATCTCAGGAGCAGATGGGAGGCTGGGGCAAGAGAATCGCCTAAGCCCAAGAGCTGGAGGCTTCTGTGAGCTGTGATGCCACGGTACTCTACCAAGGGTGACATAGTAAGACTCTGTCTCAAAAAAAAGAAAAAAAAAATCTCAGGAATAGGTGGGCTGAGCTAGGGAGTGACATGGAGAAGGAAAGAAGGGGCCCCCGGGGTTAGGAACAGCTAAAGAGATAGAAAGAACAGCCAGTGAGATGGGAGGGAAACCAGTGTCACGGTGTCCTGGACAGCAGTGAGGAAAGTGCCCCCGGGAGGACAGAGGACAGAGTGACCAAAGCCTTTGGCCCAGCAGGCAAAACAAGAGCTGTTTGAGCAATGGTTGAGCAATGGGAGGTCACTGGTGATTGTGACCAAAGCTGTCTCGCTGGAGTTGGGTGGGGAAGTCCCACTGGAGAGAAAGGGAGGGGAGGGGAGGACTTGGGGACAGCAGACCAGGCAACAGACAGAGTGGCCTGCTATAAAGAGGAGCTGAGAGATGGGATTGGAGCCCAGCAGGGAAGGGCGGTGTTGAGAGAGGGTTTTGCTTTTACAATAGAGAAATGACAGGGTCTTTGTGCACTGATGGGAATAGGTGTCTAAGGGAGAGAAGTTCAGAAACAGGGAGAATGGAGGATGGTGGTGGTCGGGGGTGGATCCAGTGCCCTGGGGAAGTTGGCCCCAGCTAGGACCCAGGCTAGTTCCGAAGTGGGGCTTCCCTGGGTTTCCCGTACTCTCCTGTCTCCATGGATGCACCTGGCTGAGACTAGCATTTAAGTACAGCAGCCACTCTTGGCTCCAGAAAGACCAGGCTGGCTATGGTCTGAGGACAGAAGGAGGGGTCAAGGCTCAGGCCTGGCCCTGGGGATGAGGGAAGGCCCATGTGGGTTGCCCTTTCTCTCAACCAGGAAGTACCCCATTCTTTGCAGGGACCTCACCTGGGGGAGAACAGTAGCATTTCTGAAGTAGCAATAACTGAAGTAGAGAAGTAAAGGGAGTGGAGACAGTCTGATATATTTAGTCTGACGAGGGGAAGTCTGACCAGGGGATTAAGAGGCAAGAGGGAGGATTTAGGGAGGGTTTTTAGGAAACAGGTGATGAGTGAATGTTTTCTTTCTCTGTCTCCATTTAAACTCAAGCAGGAGAAACTTACGCTAGACAGAATGAGAGACTTCCTGAACTAGTGAACTTCCTGAGCTGGGTCCAGGAAGGCCAGATCCTCCTCCTCAGGTGTTTAAGATGAGATGGGGCAATGCCTGCTCAGGGACAAGGGGCTCTGCTGAATTGGTCCTCAGGGATTGTCTTTGCTGTGAAGTTTCTGGAAGAAGGCCAGGGCAGGGATGTGACTTCCTCTCCAGGTGTTTACAGAACCCTGATGTCACTACCTGGGCGTGTATGGCTTAAGCATCTGTCAGGCTGCTGTGTTTGGGAAGGGTGCCTGCTTCCTTAGCCTGTCCCCCTGTAGCTGAGTGTGTCCCCCAGGGGGCCTTTCAGTGAGAGTCATGGTAAACGCACAAGGCTTTGCGCCAGAACTGTTGAGAATTACCTAGTTCTAGAAGGCTGGTTGGCCAACTCCGGCTTCTGGCTCATCCTTTTGGGATTTCCCCTGGAGGTGGGGTCTGGGACAGATCTAGGCCTGCCAGTCCTGGGCTGCTGGGCTCTTGGCTTCCTGCTCACAGACGGCTTGGACGTCCCTGCTTTCCCAAGCCTAATCAGCTTTGATGGGGGGAGGTGGTCCAGGCTCTCCCAGTGAGGAGGAAAGAGCAGCTATCCTTCCTCAGACATTCTCTGGGTAAGAGGAGCAAGTATTTGTTGTCCTGTCTCAGCTTTACTTTTGACCTTTTCTGATTCCTGGCTGTGTGCGGGCTCCCCGGGCCTGGGCAGAGTGCTGCCTCCTTTTCTGGGCTACTTATGGAGGGAGGGCAGGTGGGCGGTTATTTTCCCCAGGACCTGGGCAGGTGTTTCCACAGCTGAGCTTGTCTTTCCCCTTCCTGTCCTCTCCTCCCCCTATCCCCCCCACCCCACTCCCCTGCTAGGAGGTAGGTTTGAGGAGGAGACCTGTTTGGCTGGAGAAAACTATTTTTGTTCCTTGTTTCCGGTGACCTTTGAGGTGTGCACACCCTCCCAAGCTGCCGGACACACAAGTAAACTCACTGCCTCAATTTCCCCATCTGGCCGGCACAAGGCTGCTAGGCTGTGTGTTGGCAGCGTTCTGAAAGAATGGAGATTTCTCCTTTGGCTCACCTTGGCTGCCCTGTAAGGATGGCCATGGTATTCCGGCCCCTACCCTCCCTCAATGGATTTTTGAGTCACAGACATCCTGACAGGGCCTCCTTGGGGCCCAGAGCTCTGCCAAGCTTAGGGATGCCAGGACAAGTAAGACCCCAGCTCCATGGGGACTAAGTAAGGAGACATATAAATCACCAACAAGAAAGAAGCAAAATCCCCGGGCCCTTTGGCATCTGCTCCCTTGGGTGTCTCAGAATGTTCTTGACTTAGAAAAAGATCATGCTTTTTTCCATGCCCACACCCTTTCACTTTCATTTTCCCCCGGCACTGCAGCAACCCTCATCCTGGACCCCAGGACAATTGTAGAACTGTGCTGTGGTAGCAACATGTACAGTGTGGCTGGTGATGAGTGTGTGGGAGGCAGGTAAGGGCCTTGGGCCAGGTAGAGGGGAATGTCAACCGGCACAGAACATCAGTAAGCTTTGAAACAACTTGGTTTGCACCATGGTTTTTCATTTTGCCTAGACTGGGATCTTTGTAGCAATGTTCTGGGTCCCCCCCCTCCCCCTTGGAGTAGCAGTGTGTTATGTATGCAGGATGGGCTTGGGGCCCCTCTGGGGAACCCAAGTAAAGTATAAATGCGGTATTCTGAAGTCACATTGCTTGGGTTCTAATTCTAGGTCCATCAGTCTAGTTGTGACATGTTGTGCAAATCACTAGCCTCTTTCTGCCTCAGTGTCTACATCTGTGAAATGGGCTCATTGCAGCACCTATTCAAAGTGCTTGGAAGGTTAATTGAATTCACACAGGAAAGCGCTTAGATTGGGGCCTGGCACACTGTCTGTGCTTAATAACTATCAGCCATTACTGAAGCTGCTGTGACTTAAATCCAGTCAGCGTGGAAGAGCCCTCTCTCCATGCCTTGAAGAGAATTAATTTCTGGGCAGCGCCTGTAGCTCAAAAGAGTAGGGCGCTTTCCCCATATACCGGAGGTAGTGGGTTCAAATCCAGCTCCGGTCAAAAACTGCAAAAAAAAAAAAAAGAGAGAGAGAGAGAATTAATTTCTAGATTCCTTGAGAGACTTTGCTCCTAATATTAGCTCAGGCTTTTTAAAACTTCATAAGCCAGAGAGCAAGCATAGAAATGGAAGACAGGTCTTTTTTTTTTTTTTTTTTTTGAGACAGAGTCTCATTCTGTTGCCCTAGATGGAGTGCCATGGTGTCATAGCTCACAGCAACCTCAAACTCTTGGGCTCAAGCAATCCTCATGTCTCAGTCTCCCACATAACTGGGACTATAGGCACCCACCACCACACCAAGTTAGTGTTTCTATTTTTGGTAGAGACGGGGTTTCATTCTAGCTCAGACTGGTCTTGAACTCTTGAACTCAGGCAATCCACCTGCCTCAGCCTCTGAGAATGCTAGGATTATAGGCATGAGCCACTGCGCCCAGCTGAGTCAGGGGTCTTGATTTAATTCTTGGTTGCTATTTCAAACTTTTTGTGGATCTTTGAGGCATTTCTTGCCATCTCTGGGCCTCATTTTGCTCATCTGTACAATGGGGAGCTTAGATTACGTAATGTCTGAGGATATAACCATGGTCCACTTGGGCTCAGGTGGGCTGACTTGCCCTGGCCTTGTCCTACACCCTTCTGGTTTTTGGAGAAGTTCTGTACTGACCTTGCTTTCCTCCCCAGGTTGTGAGATGTGCTCACAGGAGGCTTTGCAGGCACAGAGAAGCCAGCTTGTGGGGCTGCTGGTCTCGGGATCCCTGGAAGGCTTTGAGAGCATCCTGGACTGCCTGCTGTCCTGGGAAGTCCTCTCCTGGGAGGAGTATGAGGGCCTCTGTGTCCTGGGCCAGCCCCTTTCCCACTCAGCCAGGCGCCTCTTGGACACTGTCTGGAGTAAAGGTGCTTGGGGCTGTGAGAAGCTCATTGCAGCTGTCAGGGAGGGCCAAGCCAGCACCCAGTCCCTGGAGCTGCATGACTGCTGGGACCCTCACTCACTCCACCCAGCCCAGGACCTGCAGAGTCACCGGCCAGTCGTCGTGAGGAGACTCTACAGCCATGTGGAGGGGGTGCTGGACTTGGCGCAGGAGCGAGGCTTTGTCAGCCAGTATGAGTGTGATGAAATCAGGCTGCCAATCTTCACGTCCTCCCAGAGGGTAAGGTGCTCCACCCTGTGTCACAGAACTTGCAAGCAGAGGGTGCTTAGTCACCAAGACTGATCTGTCCTGTGAAGTTGGCCCCAGAGGGAAACTTGGTTCATGGGGTTCCCCTTCAAAAGGTAGGTGAAAGCTACTCGGTTGTGGGCAACAGGTCACTTCTGATGACAGACAGGAAGTGTCGTGTGGTGGCCCAGGGCTTAGCTTCTGGAGCTAGAATGATGAAGGCTCAAGGTCAGCTGTGTGACCCCAGGCATCCCTATAGAACCTCTCCATCCTCAATCTCTCCTGTCCCAGTTTCCTCATCTGTGAAACATTGATAATAGTCTTTTGGCCCCTATCCCGTAACGTTCTTGGAAGGATTCAATTAGGTAATTTGTGTAAGGCTGGCAACAATGTCTGGTACATGGTGAGCAGCCATCAGTTTTATCGCTGGTGGCTAGTGTTTCTGTTATCAGTGACACTCTGTACTTGTAGACTTTTATTGTTGTCTGTTTTAAATTTACACCTCAACAGATGAGAGCACTTCATTTTATTAAATCTCTATTTATAATTGTTATAGCACATCACATACTAACATAGTTTAAATGTCTACCTAAGATTTCTGATATGAAATCGCATTAGATCATACATGTTGGAGTTGGGATATAATGGCCCCAGAAAATGTAATGATTCAAAAGAGACCCCTAAGGACAGAAAAGTATCTGGTGGGTATTTTTGAAACTTTCTCTCTCTCTCTTTTTTTTTTTTTCAAATAGTGATCCTCAGAGCTCCTGTGAAGCAAGTGGAATAATCATTAACATCCCCAGAAATTAAGGCCTAAAAAAGTGGTTTGAATAAGTTCACAGAAGTTAATGAGAGGGCCAGGGCTGGACCTAAGTTTTGACTCATTCATTTATTGTTCATTTTTTTATCCAGCCGGAATCTATTAGGTGCTTACTGTGAGTCAGGCTTTGCACTTAGTAACTACTTGATGAATATTGTTGATGTAATCAACAAATTATTGAATGAATGACGAATTGCAATTGTGTTTTAGTGTTAGGATGGGCTGGGTGGAGAACTTTTTAGTTGTTATTTTTGCCTATTTGTTAAAAAATATCTTTGGTGTCCAAGTGAGTCTAAGTAAGCTTCAGTTAAGATTGGTGAAGTAGGGTGGTGCCTGTGGCTCAGTGGGTAGGGCGCTGGCCCCATATACCGAGGGTGGCGGGTTCAAACCTGGCCCCGGTCAAACTGCAACAAAAAAATAGCTGAACGTTGTGGCGGGTCCCTCCCAGGAGGGACTACAGGGACTACTCCGGAGGCTGAGGCAAGAGAATCACCTAAGTCCAGGAGTTGGAGGTTGCTGTGAGCTGTGATGCTAGGGCACTCTACCGCGGGCAATAAAGTGACACTCTGTTTGTACAAAAGATTGATGAAGTAAACTAATCTGTCTTCAAGGCTGATTTAAAACTGGCTTAATATTTACAGAGCTGACATAGTGTGAACTCCTTTAATTAGTGCACAAGAAATGTACAGTCTTACTCTGAGAACAATCTCTTTGAGCGTCACTCTGGGGACAGTACAAAAGACACAATACTCACTGTACCTACCTTGGGGTCTCTTACATTTGTTAAGGGTATTGAATCAGCCCACTGGGGAAGTGGCAAGATTGTGTCTTGTCATTGTTGATCAAACATTCAGCAGTGTGGTCTGGTGCAGATGCTCTGAGGGGTTGGAGAAGGTAGCCTGTATCCCCCGGGCCCACAGGAGACAGAGCATGAATAGAGGAAGTATTCAGATTAATGGAGAAAGGAAAAGGGATGAAGAAGAAATTATAATGGAAATCAGAACCAAACAATAATGTGAAAATCTATGGGATGCAGCTAAAGCAGAACTAGAGGGAAATTTATAACCTTAAGTGCTTATATTGGAAAGGAAGAAGAATTGGATTTTAGTGGGCTAGGAATTCATCTTAAGAAAGGACTAAATAAGACAAGACAAGCAAACATTGAAGGTAGGACTGAGTTTAGCAGGTAAAAGGACTGGAGGGTAACAGATCTGGGAACTGTAGGAGGTTACAAGGGGACTACACTGCCTGAGGTTTAAGTTTTTAGATTCCAGCTCTCTGGGAGCCTCCTTTGAGTGCTGGCTTTCTATCATTCTCTGATTTGGTGGCCTTCCCTAAACGGCTGAATTTCCGATTCCATTTTGGAAGCACTTGTGGTACGTCCAACTAACATGTCCCCCACTATCAACCTTTTAATTTCCTATAGAGAAGTGGTTGTCCCTGATTGCAGGCTGGGGACTGATGTGGGATTCAACATATGCAAATTAAAGACTAAATCCCCCAAATACTCGTTGCTCCTTTTTAGTGAGTCGGTCCCTGCTGTGTGCAGGCACTGTCCTCAGCCTTTTCCCTGTATTATCTCACTTAAGCCCCACTACACCCTAACGAGGGCGCAGAGTGACTACATTGTTGCTTAACGATGCCCAAATTACCCATGTGGGAAGTGGCTCAGCTAGATTTGAATCCAGACCTATTTTTCCCCAGAGCTGAAGCTGTTCTCTGTCATAAGACGTGGGGGCTCTGGGTGGCAAACTTGCTCAGTTGGGTAGAGAAGTTGTTAGGAAACCTGAAGCTGGTACCACCAGCTGTAACGCCAGCTGTCCGTGTGACTCACGCAACTGCTGCAGTCGGTCGGCCCGAGGTGTCAGACTGAACTCTGAATTGCGCGGCTCTTATCACAATATTAACCTAAACACATTGAAGTTGGAAAACGTCCCGTGCCTGCCGAAGCATATACACATTTCCATATGTACAGTGTAAATGGATAAGAAATAGGACACTGCCCACACCTGGGCCCCATCTTCAGTTGTGACTGCTACGGCTGAACACCAGCCTGACTTCTGTGTTAATCATTCCTTTGCTTTTCTTTATGGTTTTAGCACATTTTAAAATAAATCCCCAAATAATGTATTTTATTTTGAAAAACTGAGTAGCAAACCAAACACAGCTGTGTAAAGAAAGAACAGTGTTGTTCCTTCTTAGAGGAAGCCTCCCAAGTCAGGGAAGCTGAACAGGGCTTCAGGGGCATGGCCTGGCTTGGGAGTTTATAAGGACCCCTCTGGAGAGCCAGTTTATAAGGACCCCTCTGGGGAGCCAGCAGGCAAGGTGATGAATGAGTCTGGGGAAACACAGGGCCCCATTACTGCTGGAGACCCTGGCAGGGTTGATATGAGTCATGTGCTGATGTCCAAGGAAGTGGGCTTGTCTGCAAGCTCCTTGTCATTGTGTCAAAGACTATTCTAGCTTCTTGGAATAGGTCAAGGCTAAACACATCAGTGGGGTAAAATGAATATCCTCAGCTGACTGAGGCAGTAGTATGTGAGAAAAGGAATGATATTAGTTCATGGTGAAGACAAATGTAAATAAAGTTCAGGGCCAGGTTTGCCCAGATATCTAGGAAATAACTGCACTTGATATGCCTGAGTCACTGCTCCGTTCTGTCTGAACTCATGTCATAGTACGCAGCCAACACCCTGAGCTTTCCCCTCCTGGTCCTCCTGTGTTGGGTCCCCTGTATCCTAAATACTATGTCTTCCTTTTTCCTGGTTATCTCCATTATCTCCATTTTGTAGATAATATTCTACAGTCAATTCTTTAGAATCAGTGTTTATGGGAGTTAGAATTTCAGAGTTCTTCCATGTCTACAAGTTCTCTGGTACTGGATTGATAGTTTGGTTGGGTATAAAACTCAGTGGTGGTCGTCATGTTCCTTCAGCATTTTGATTCCACTGTCTCCTCCTTTCAGTATTGCTGCTAAGAATTCCAAAACCATTTTATAACTCTTTCTGGAATCTTGGAAAATTTCAGTTTAGTTTCTAATGTTCTGAAAGTTCACAATTATGTGTCTTGGTGCTCTTTTATTATGCTGGTTGCCCAAGAATATGGGAACTAATATCTTTATATTCTGGGGATTTTTCTTGATTAGTTTATCGATGATTTCTTTGTATTTTCTCTGTATTTCTTTGTATGTTCCACAAAGAGGGTTGTTCCTCTCCTTGAGGAACAACTATTACTTTTTTTCACAAATTTCAGATTAGGGGCTGCACCTGTGGCTCAGTGAGTGGGGTGCTGGCCCCATATACTGAGGGTGGCAGGTTTAAACCCGGCCCCAGCCAAATTGCAAAAAAAAAAAAAAAAAAAAAAAGAAAGAAATAAAAATTTCAGATTAATATGAGGGTACAAATGTACAAATGTTTAGATTACATTGTTTTCATTTATAAGGTAAAGTTCAAGTTGTAGTTGAGCCCTTCACCCAGGGCTGTGCTGAACACCCTCACATTGTGTGTATTAGGTGGGATCCCGGCAATCCCCTTCCCTCTTTTGTTCTCTCTCCCCTCCCTCTCCCCTCCCCCTTGCTAGACTATATTTGTGTTTTTCTTTCCTATTATTTGAATGTTAGAATTCCTTGACTGATCCTCTAATTTTCTTATATTTCCCATTTCTGTCTCTCTCTTTTATTCCTGCTTTCTATGTGGTAGTTGCAGCTGTATTTTATACTCTTGAAGTTTTCGTGTTTTTATCAAGCTTTGAATTTGTCAGAACTATTTTTGGCTATTTCTTTATTATAGTATCTTGCTCTTGTTGTATGGGTCCAATATCTTCTTTTACTTAAGGATCATAATGATGAGTTGTTTGTTTGCCGGGTTGGTTGGTTGGTTGTTTTTCCACCTACATGAACTTTTTATCCTACAAGTAGCTTTCTCCTGTCCCCGTTTGTTTGGCTCTTATCCCTTACATTAGTTGTTTTCTTTGAGCATGTGGGCATTTAGTTGTCTTCCTCATGATTGAAATGAAGAACTTTAAAACTAACTGAGCATGCAGGAACTTGTCTGCCATGAATTTCACTGTGGATATCTTGGGAGATGGCAGAGTTTTTATCTTTAGATCTTTCCTCTTAGGTTAACCAAGCTCCCTGAGTAGGTCACAGACCTCCTTTCTGGGGGAAAATTCTGATAGAGGTCTGGGAGCCTTGTGGGTGACAGGGCAGAGCAGTGATGGTGGTGGGCAAAGTCTCAGCGTTCAGCATCTACTTTGCTTTTGGTCATGTACAGGATAGGGATATGATTAGGATATGACAGCCACTTCTGTAATTGTGACTGGTGTTTCAAAGTGCAGGGACTCTCTCTGTCACTCTTCACAAAATATCAATTTCTAGACTTTGTCAAGGCACACAGGACACTTGCTAGTGGCTTGGAGTAGATAAGGGAGACCAGAGACCAGTTTCATAAGCCATTTTGACGCAGTCCTCCTTATCTTAGTCACTTCCTTCAGTTGTGGAGGGACCTGAGGCTGATAGCCCAGTGCCCCTTACAGATACCAGGAACCGTGTTATAAGTTTTTAGTTTTCCCATTTGGGGGTTAGTATTTGGTTTTCAGGAGTCTTCTAAATCCATTGCCATTCATTCATTCAGTAAGTCCTTGAGCTGCTAGACCTTCTTTTAGGTGTTGGTGACACCTCAGTGACTAGGACAGACAAATATCCTTGTCTTGGAGATGCTTACACTCTGCAGGAAGGTGAGCGACAATAAACAAATAGGACAGACAAATATCCTTGTCTTACACTCTGTGGGAAGGTGAGGGACAGTACATAAAAGGAAGCAAATCACTGTGTGTCGGGAGGTGGTAGGTGCTGAAAGAAGGAAGTGAAGTGGGTTTGGGAGTTAACAGTTTGGGAAGGGGTTGGGGGATAAATGATACATTTTTTTCTTTTGTTTTACATTTTAGATTAATATGACAGTACAAATGATTAGGTTACAACGTGTGCATTTGTTAGGTCGTAGCTGTGCCTGGCATCCGGGAGATGTGCCATATATTCTTAATTGTGTCTATTTGGTGGACGCGCACCCACCCCCCTCCCTTTCCTCCATTCTTTCCCCTCCCCCAACTTGAATTGAATTGAGATTTCTCTTATGTGAGAAAAATACCAATTCACTTCATTCAATACTAATTCATTTCTAATTGAGAAAAATAATACTAATATGAAGCCAGTAGATGAACTACAGACGTAGTACATTGGATACTTGCTTTTTCATTCTTGTGATACTTCACTAAGAAGAATGTGTTTCAACTCCATCCGGGTAAATACAAAAGATGTAAAGTCTTTTTTATTTTTAAGGCTGAATAGTATTCCAGGGTTTGCATATACCACAGTTTACCAATCCATTCATGGGTTGATGGGCACTTAGGTTGTTTCCACATCTTGGTGATTATAAACTGAGCTGCCATAAACAATCTAGTTCAAATGTTCTTATGATAAAATGATTATTTTTTCTTCTGGGTAGATGCCTAGTAATGGGATTGAGGGATCAGATGGCAGGACTATTTTGGGTTCTTTGAGGATTCTCCATACTTCTCTCCAAAGTGGCTGTACTGATTTGCAGTTCTACCAGCAGCGTAAAAGTGTTCCCTTCTCTCATCTGCGCCAGCATCTGCAGCTTTGGGACTTTGTGATGTGTGCTCTTCTCCCTGGGGTTAGGTGATATGTCAGGGTGGTTTTGAAAATGAGAAATTTCAAATGACATAGAGAGGTCTTACTGAGAAGGTGAAATTTGAGTAAAGACTTGAAGAAGGTCAGGGAATTAGCTGTGGTAGCTGGGGAGAGGGATGCCAGGCACGGGGACAGCCAAGGCAAAGACCTGGAGGTGGGGCATCACGGTGTTTTTAGGAAGCAGCCCCTGAGGGAAGGCGCTCCTTGAGTAAGAAGTGAGGTCAGAGAGTGACCTATGTCAGGGGCTAATAGACAGGGAGTGTTGTCTGTTTGGGACCTCTCAGGTTGCTGTTGGATTTGGGGGATGCTATTGGGATGTTTGTAACGGGGAGGTGGGACCTGTGGCATTGAGCATAGGTCGGGGGCGGGGCAGGAAGAGAAGCCATGGGGCCAGTTTGGCAGCTTTTGCAGTTCTCTAGCTTAGCAGTGACGGTGGCTTGGATCAGGAAGGTATAGAGGAGGTGACAGCAAAGAAAGGACTAGATAGCTGCATATCCAGTATGTAGACACTGGCCGCAGGGGGCTGTCCAGCACGTGGCACCCGGCTGGTCCACACTGAGTTTCAGCAAGTGCAGAATACACACCAGATTTGGAACACTTAATACAAAACACAGAATGGAACCCGTCTTGCTAATTTTGAATATTGATTACACACCGAAATGATAATATCTCGGGGATTTGAGGTTAAATATAATATGTGATTAAAATTAAGTTCACCTTTTTAATTTTTACTTTAGAAACGTGGCTCTTAAAAGATGTGAAATCACACATGCGGTTTGCATTCGTACTTTCATTGTATTTCCATTGGACAGTGCTCTTCTGGACATACTCTGAAGGGGAGCCAACAGGATTTGCTGCTAGATTGCCAAAGAGAGGCTGCGAGGGTGACCCCAAAACTTTGGGACTGAGCAAGTGGAAGAATGGAGTTGACATTAGTCGAGATGAGGAAGCGTGCAGGTTTGGCATATACGTGGGTGGATTAGGAGTTTAGTCTTGGATCAGTTAAGCTGGAGGTGTTTATGAAATGTCTAAGCAGAGAGAGAAAATAGGCAGTTGGATGTGCACACCCAGGGTCCAGGGGAACCCTTCAGGCTGGAGATGAAAATGTGAGAGTCGGGAGCAGAGATCACAGTCCAGCATTCGAGCCATGAGACTTGACGGAGTCTCTTCTCCTCTAAACGATCCACAGCTTCCAGCACCATCTTCCCTGCCTATGTAGGTTTATGTTTTCACTTTGTTTTGTTTTATTGTTTAACTGTTCCCTCGTTAGCTGGGTTTGCAAGGGAGCCACATTGGATGCATGTGACTTCATTAAACTCAGGCAGTCATCTGGTCGTTGCTCTGGTGGAAGAGAGATGCCTGGGAAATTATAGTCATCAGGAGGAAGCTTCCCGCTCTCTCCCGTCAGCCTTTCTGGAAAGATCATGTCTGTTCCCTTTCCCGTAGGCAAGAAGGCTGCTCGATCTTGCCACAGTGAAGACGAATGGATTGGCTGCCTTCCTTCTGCAGTGTATTCAGGACTTACCAGTCCCACGGGCCCTGCCTTTCGAAGGTAAGCACATGGGCTCCATGCATCGAACAGGGAAAGGAAGCCCCATGGATTCATGGCTAAGCGGAAACACACGTCAGTGAGCGTTCCACACACTCGCTGCACAGCCTCCCTAAGACTCAGTCTCCCCACTGGAAGGACCACCACCTGTCTCATTGGGCTTTGGGAGATTAAAAGGATACAAGTGTGTAGTGTTATCCATCAGCTTCCATTACCTCCTGGGTAACAGTAACTGGAGTTACCCCGTATTAAGTTCTGGTGTTCCTTACTAGCCAAACTCTCATTATCTGTACCAAAAAGATGTGGATACACTTTTTTGAGAAAGAGTTCCTATCTCCTGATCACTGAAATTTAGCTACCCACAACCAGTGGGTTTAGATAATGTGATGTCTCTCAGTACCCACGGTCACCAACCAAACTCAGAAACAGGGGAGGCTTGTCGAGCAGAACTCGGACATCCCAGGCGTCCTGCCGAGTGCCTTATGGACCATACCTGTCCTCTGGAACAACCCCAAGGAGGTGTTGCTGTTTCCACCTTTCAGCTGTGGAAACCGGGCTGGGAGGTTAAAAGATGAGGTCGGGGAAGATGGGCTATACTCTGTCTCCACCTACACTTTCTCTTTTCTCAGAAGGAATTGTCGGAAGGAGAGGCTGCGAGCCTGGCACTCTCCTTGTCCCTCCTCTACTGTAGGGAAAGCTTGTTGGCACCAGTGGCTCCTGAGCTGTGTACAGATGGGTTTATCACCCTGGGCCCTGCCCTCTGGGCCTGTGGAAGGGTGGCTGGAAGCACATGCTTGGCACTTGGGTGTACACCAGCACATCTAAGAACAAGGTACAGACATCAGAGCACGGTGCCTGCCTCAGGCCTTGGTTAATACCTGCTGTCGATGTCGTCAAGCATAGCCAGTCACTTGGGCACTGTAACATCACGCACCAGGGTGCAAAGTTCCCCAAGCTTCTAAAAGTGATGAGTGATATGTTTATTTCTCTTTAAAATGAGAGAATTTTTTTTTTTTTTTGGAGAATTTGGCTGCCATTGGTGATGGCTGGAAAACCGACATGGAAATCAGGTTGGAAGAGGAAGATGTATATCGAGATTATATTGGAGAGGAAGATATATATCTTATGGTCTCTGTTCAGGGCTCTCAGGTATATCCAGAGGGCAGAAAGAGGAACAGTAATTATTAGCTCTGGGGAAGAAAAGAGGAAGCCCAAATATAGAGCATCCCCTCTGCACAGCTCTATAGATGCTTTTCAACGAGCAAAGAGCCTTCCGTAAAAATACCTCGTTAGCCTTTGGGTTGAAAACAAACCAGCCAGTACTTGGTTGGGGGCAGTGAGGCTATGACGGAGAGAACCGCACTGAGGCACCAGCCTGGGTCTCTGGCCCAGGACTTCCGCATTTCTGGAAGGGGGAACTAGACCCTGACGTAGGAAATGGTTTGCTCACCCTGGTTTCAGGATGATGAAGGCAGAGTGGCTGCCCTTTAGGCACACCCTGTCACGGGACTCCTCCTGTGTGGGGTGCGTGAGCAGGGCATGGGAGTAGAGGCAGGGGCAGAGGTCTTGTCTGAGCACTTGGCTGGGGCTCCCAGCGACCCTTGGGCCTTCCATTGCCAGGCCCACCTGGGTAACCTGGGAATCCTCCCCAACTCAAGGTCTTTAACTTAACCCACCTGCAGAGTCCCTTTTGCTGGGTCAGGTGACGTATTCATGGGTTCTGAGGATTAGGACCTGGACATGTTTGGGGGGCCCTTGTGCCTACCACACTCACCAATCCTGATAATGAACACCATTTTTTGAGACTTTACCAAGTGTCAGATATTTTTCTAAACTTTGTCTTTATCTCGTTGCCTCCTGAAACAATTCTTTGAGGTGTGGATTGTCCCCGTAAGAAAACTAAAGCCCAGAAAAGCTAAGTGGCTGCCCCTTATTAATAGTGGGCCTGGGTTTCAAGTTCAAGTGCGTCTGACTTTGGAAACTGTTTCACCTTCGGTTTGCCCTTAGAAAAAGGTAACGAAGGTGAGTGGCGAATGGACCTCTGGACGGGCACTCAGCCCATATGGTGGGATAGACTTTGGGACACAGGTCTTTCGGCCCCAGCCCCTCTGGTGTCAGCAGAAATCATGGCGGGACCCGATGTCTTCTGAGCACGCTTGCTTTTGTGGGACACCGTGCTGAGCACTCAGTGTGCATTATCTCTGTTAGACGGGGACCGTCATTTCTCCCACCTCACAGGGCACAAACTAAGGCTTAGGAAGGTTCTATGACTGTCTTCAAAGTCTGCAGCGTGTGAGTGGAGGAGACAGGGTGGCCACCCGCCGTCTGTTCTGTCCCATCAGTAGCACCACCTCTCCCTGGCAGCAGACCACCCTCCGGCCAGGTCACATCTCCACCTTCATCTGTTTGTCCTTCTCGTACCTTCCAGCTGCTGCGTGTAAGAAGTACCTGTCCAAGCTGAGGACCACAGTGTCGGCTCAGTCTCGCTTCCTCAGTACCTACGATGGGGCGGAGACCCTCTGCCTGGAGGATGTCTACACGGAGAATACCTTGGAGGTGCGGACAGACGTGGGCACGGCCGGCCCCCCACAGGAGAGCCTGGCCACCCTCGGCCTGGAGGAGCTCTTCAGTGCTCACAGCCACCTCAACGAGGACGCGGACACCGTGCTGGTGGTGGGCGAGGCGGGCAGTGGCAAGAGCACACTCCTGCAGCGGCTGCATTTGCTGTGGGCCGCGGGGAAGGCCTTCCAGGAATTTCTCTTCGTCTTCCCGTTCAGCTGCCGGCAGCTGCAGTGCGTGGCCAAACCGCTGTCTGTGCAGACGCTGCTCTTTGAACACTGCTGTTGGCCCGACGCTGGACGACAGGACATCTTCCAGTTCCTTCTGGACCACCCTGACCGCATCCTGTTAACCTTCGATGGTTTTGATGAGTTCAGGTTCAGGTTCACGGACGGTGAACGTCACTGCTCTCCAATGGACCCCACATCTGTCCAGACCCTGCTCTTCAACCTCCTGCAGGGCAACCTGCTGAAGAATGCCCGCAAGGTGCTGACCAGCCGCCCGGCGGCCGTGTCACCCTTCCTCAGGAAGTACATCCGCATGGAGCTCAGCCTCAAAGGCTTCTCGGAGGAGGGCATTGAGTCGTACCTGCGGAAGTGCCATCACGAGCCTGGGGTGGCCGACCGCCTCATCCGCCTACTTCACGCGACCTCACCCCTGCGTGGTTTGTGCCACCTGCCTGTCTTTTCATGGATGGTGTCCAAATGCCACCAGGAACTGTTGCTGCAGGAAGGGGGCTCCCCAAAGACCACCACGGATATGTACCTGCTGATCCTGCAGCACTTTCTGCTGCGGGCCTCTCCCCCAGACTCAGCACCCCATGGCCTGGGGCCCAGCATCCTTCGAGGCAGGCTCCCCAGCCTCCTGCACCTGGGCCAGCTGGCTCTCTGGGGCCTGGGCACGTGCTGCTACCTGTTTTCTGCCCCGCAAATCCAGGCAGCACAGGTCAGCCCTGATGACATTGCCCTCGGCTTCCTGGTGCGTGCCAAAAGTGTGGCTCCGGGAAGGGCAGCCCCCCTAGAGTTCCTGCACATCACTTTCCAGTGCTTTTTTGCTGCCTTCTATCTGGCACTTGGTGCTGACACACCCCCAGCCTCGCTTGGATACCTCTTCAACTGTCGCAGGCCAGGTGGCTCACCACTGGCCAGGCTGCTGCCTGGGCTGTGTGTCCAGGGCCCAGGGTGCAAGGAGGACGGCATGGCAGCTCTGCTGCAGAAGGCTGAGCCGCACAACCTTCAGATCACGGCGGCCTTCCTGGCAGGGCTGTTGTCCCGGGAGCACCGGAGTCTGCTGGCTGAATGCCAGGCGTCCGAGAAGGCCCTGCTCCGGCTCCAGGCTTGTGCCCGCTGGTGCCTGGCCCGCAGCCTCCGAAAGCACTTCCAGTCCATCTCACCAGGCGTGCCGGGTGAGGCCAAGAGCATGCACGCCATGCCGGGGTTCGTCTGGCTCATCCGGAGCCTGTATGAGATGCAGGAGGAACGGCTGGCGCGGGAGGCTGTGCGCAGGCTGAAGGTAGGACATCTCAAGCTGACGTTCTGCGGCGTGGGCCCTGCCGAGTGTGCTGCCCTGGCCTTCGTGCTGCAGCACTTGCGGCGGCCAGTGGCCTTGCAGCTGGACTACAACTCTGTGGGCGACATCGGTGTGGAGCAGCTGCTGCCCTGCCTCAGTGTCTGCAAGGCCCTGTAGTAAGTGTGCCTGGGCACTGGGGGTCGGACCTGGGGGGACGCAGCATCAGGGGGAGGTGTAGGAGCACCAGCCCTGGCTCTGCCACCGTGCTGCACAGGCCTGGCCGGGGCCCCTCCCCTCTGGGCCTTGGTGTCAGTCTATCGTGATGACCGCCATACTTTACTGAGGGACTAGTGTGCCAGGCACTGTGCGGCACTGTCCAGAATTACCTTATCTGATCTTCATGGCCACCCTGGGCTGTGGGCAGGGACAACATTGTCTTCACTGTCCTTGATTTGAGGCTTAGAGAATTGAGGGGACTTGTCCAGGGTCACAGAGGAATGGCAGAGCTGGCGTCACAAAGCATCTTTCGGTCCTGAGTGTGTGGATAGGAGGCTCCATGACAGCCTCAAGGTCACACGCCAAGTTCTAACAGGTGTCTGTGTTAGGAACTGCACCCCATCTAGGGAGACTTATGCCTCATCCGGGACTTTACAATCTCAGCAAGATGGAAATTTCAGGACCCCAGAGGTAGAAAGTGGCTATGGAGCTTTGCCCACTTTCTCAGTCTGTAGACAGCCTGGTGTCCAAATGGGATTTCAGTATTTCTCATGCTGCTCTCCCCCCTGCTGAAGATGGGGGTTCTGCCCTTTTGAATGCCTGTGTCCCTGAACCCAGGGGCCTCTGTCCATATCTTGGGGCTAGGAGGTACATACCTTGGCCTGAGGACCCGCATGCTGCAGGCTCCCCCACTTCCCTTCCAGCCTCAAAGGGGACCTCCTGCTCCCTGTTTAGAGTCTATGAGAAAGCAGAAGTTGTGGAGTACAGTTAAAATCTATCCACAGCCTCCTAGGGCTTTGGGCTACCCCCAGATGGCCTTAATTATCCTAAGCAAGAGATGAGCGTCTCCTTGAATATATTAGGATATACACGTTATATCTTCTCTGGGGCAAGGCAGCAAGAGGTTTTTTTTTTTTTTCTCCCTGGAACAAATACATAGATATCTACTCGGAACTGCGCAGTGACTTTCGTTAAGCCTCATGCAGGGACCATGAGTTTATAATGTAATAATGGTATTATATACCACATATTTCACATAGTTAACATACGTGGGTATTATATATAACGAATATGCATATGAATAGACCCATCAGGGTCTTGGAGGAAACAGATGCTACATTCAAATTGGGTAATTTGAGGAGAGTTTAATAAAGAGACCATTTGCTAAGACGTGGGCAGGAGTTAGGAAGAGCTGGAGGGAGGAGGGTGCAGGGACCTGGGGTTAGTTAGTAAGCACAGGGTGGGTGGGTGGGCTGCAGGGACAGGGGGAGTGAGAACTTAGGAGGTGTGGAGGGAGCTGCATTTCCCTAGGAAGAAAGAATCTTGAATGTTTGAGTGGGCATTTGAAGATCTGTCTGATGGAGTTATTTCCCTGATAGTGTGCATTTTCTTGGGTAGTAGATATTTATTTTTTGCCAGGTTTGCAAAGCGGTCCTTGAACCCCAAGAGGCCAGGCATTGCTGTTCCAGATTATCCTCCTAGGCTAGTCTGTCCCTAGAATTCTTGAATGGACCCTCTCTCCTTAATTAGGAATGCCTGTATGACCCCCCCAGCCTGTGCAAAAGGGCTGGGGAAACAGGTGTCTGTCTCTGGTCCTAGCTCTTGGGGTATACAGACTGCTCCACGCTGCACTGTATAATGGCGCCTCTTGGAATGAAGATGCCTGGGCCAGCTCCCATGATCCTCATTCAGTAGGTTTAGGATGGGGGCCCAGGAATCTGTATTTTTTTTTTTTTTTTT